TAATTTCGGTTTTTCTAATATGCATTATTGCGGTTTTCAACCGAAACTGTGCATATATGCATTATTTCGGTTTTTTTCATATGCATTATTTCGGTTTTCAACCGAAACTGTGCATATATGCATTATTTCGGTTTTTTTCGTATGCATTATTTCGGTTTTTTTCATATGCATTATTTCGTATGCACAGTTTCCATATGCACAATTTCAGGGTGCCGAAGAGAACGGAGAAAACCGCGAAATTGTTGAACGCATGAAAACTCATTTTTATTATGCAAATTCTTCTATAAATCATGCCGTTGTGTTAAATTATTCTTTATCTTATGTGTACACACGTTGTCACAAGCGAAAATGAAGAAAATTGCAGTAAAAAGCCACCACCAAATTGTAAACAACGAAGAAATGTAAACAAACGGCTAATGTCAAAATCGTTCAACTTTTTTCCTTAATGCGGTTCTAACGGGCTACTCTCCTGCCCGCGTGATCTTGTCTTTTTGGTTCATGTATACATATGTAGGTACCAGGGATGCCAACTCATTTTATCTCTCTCCCCGTTGACCACCGCGAAATTCCCCGATTTTCGGTGAAATTCCCCGCACTGGCATGATTCCATAAAAAAAAAATAAAAATTTTTAATTCAATTGCTTGAATTTATTTACTAATTTACATACAATATTTAAATTTAAATTTTTGTCACTAATTTTTTTATAAATTATATCTTATTGTAAAACATACGCCATATAAGTCAAAATAAACAACTTTGGGCAAAACTGATAAAAATTCAACAAATAATAAAATTTTTTAACTTATTACTTCTCATTTTTAGAAGTCAATTTAATTTTATTATTACTTAATTTATTTATATCTTTAATTCAAGCTTAAGTGGAAGATTCTATCACCTTTGTTTTTTTTTGCTAGACCTTTTCAAATATTGCAATAAACGCGATTTTTCGACAGTTTGACCTAGTTTTCACAAAATCTGGACCTGAAGGAAACTTTATACTTACGGATTCGTAATCAGCACAAAAAGTCTTTCAAAAACAGCTTTAATATTTCTTTATTTCAAATAAAAAATTAGTCAACAAAAACAAATTGTCTTACAGATTAATTCAGAGGTTTTAACAAAAAATAATAATCTTAACAAATACACAAACTGTAATGGAAAACCATTATGGATATAAGATTTTAGAGTTATATCAAAACGGTTAGTTTATTCAATGCTTACAATGTTACATGGGAAACCAAATAACAAACTAGTTCTATTTCTTTTACTTACTTATAAGTATAATTAAGAAGTGTAATGAAAGTGTCTGAAGTCGGCCGCTGTGGTGTAGTGGTAAGCAGTGCGCGCTTCCACTCCGCATCACCTGGGTTCAAGCCCTGGTCAAAGCGACATCGCAAAAAAAATAAAGGATTTTTCTTAACAACGGTCGTCACTCGGCAGGCAATGCCAAACCTCCGAGTGTATTTCTGTCATGAAAAACAGCTTCTCATAAAAATACAATCGCCGTTCGGAGTCGGCGTAAAACTGTAGATCCCTCCGCTTTGTGTGACAACATCAAGGTGCACGCCACAAATCGGAGGAGAAGCTCGGCTAAACACTAACATATGTGTAAGCGCCAATCTATTATTATTATTATAATGAAAGTGTGCTTTGAGGAGGAAATATCAATCTCAAAAGATTTATATACAGTATTGAGTTCTATCAACAGCCGCAACAAAATCGCTGTTGCCTTGTGTAATTGCATTATTTAATATGTATATATAAATGAATGTTAGTAATATTCATGCGAAATTGGCAGAGTTGAAATTGTGACTAAAAATAAAATTTTACAAAAAGTACTCTGCACTCTAGGGAGATAAGTTATTTAATGATCTAAAATCAAATAGTCTGAATTCTCCTGCAAAAGGCAGAAATTCCCCGATTCCCGCAACGAGACAAATTACCCGTAAATCGGAGAATTCCCCGCAAGTTGGCATCGCTGGTAGGTACTTATGGCTAACAGAGCGTAATTTGCCAAAGAACGTAAAACCACTATAAAATTGTTTCATTTACACACGGCGATTTTTGTTGCCGCAACTCGACGTTTGTAGGAGAGAGCGTGACGAGGAAAGGAGAGGGGCACCGAGTTGCTCGTGCTCGGGCAACACGCTTTGTGCTCTCGTTCGTCTGTGTAAATTGAGATAGCGATTCACAGCT